TTTCATCATACTTTGGGTTTAGGGCTTCGTTTGCAGTCAGTGCTAATTAAAATAAAGAAGGTAGACTAAAGCAGGTTTAACTCCTGACCTTTTCTTGCTGTCATTTCATCAGCTATTTTGACGACGTGGTCGATGCCCCAGCGACTGCCGAGCACGACGGCAAGTGCAAAGTGCGGAGCTGCATGCTCTTGGGTTGACTGCAAATGAGAACCACTGGTTAGTACTGATAAATAAAGATTGAAATGCGGATTGTTATGTTGGCAGATGGGATTCATGATGGGTCAAAGGTAATATCCATTGCTACAGAAACCCACAGCTTCTTTCCCCTTCCACTGTACCGTCTGCTCTCCCTCTTCTAAAATCCTCTGTTGACAACCAAAGAGGAACTGATAAAGAACGAGCCAAGACGCCGCAGATCGAAATAAAAAATCATCTGATGACAACCAAAGAGGAACTGGTAAAGAACGAGCCAAGACGCTGCAGATCGAAATCAAACGACAAATTCGTGAGCGTGCACAAATCAGGGAGTAGTTCAAAGGCATTTCGACAATCCGAAGAAGCGGCAAAGCCATTTCGAAACCTTCGTCGTTCCGGAGCCCAAGAAACTCTTGTCACTACCAGAAACACAAAAGAAATATAACCGACAATTAAAAGGATAGGGAAGAAGAGAACCTTCTTCGACCCAAGATCCATCTCCCGCGTTCTCGCGCCTTGGAAACAGAGAGATCGAAACCCTACAGTAGCACCGTACGAAGATTGGTTCAGATCAAGAAGGTCTAGCGGCGAACAAACCGAGGGGAGCGAACCATTGGGCCTCCTCTTCTGCTTCTCCTTCTCGAATGGGAATCGGCGGTTAAGCCCTTTCTTGAATCTTGATATATAGCACCCCCGAGAACCAGGAGATCATCACAGCCGGCGACTGACCGACTCACACCTGAAAAACCATCAGGGTGATTCGCACGGGTCCCGCGACATCAGCTTGCCGAAATAACTGCGTCACCCCATCAGCTGGCCGACCGAATCACAACTGGAAAGCCATCCGGGTGATTCACACGGGTCCCACCATTTCATCTTGTCAAAAAGACCACGTCATCCCGGAAACACTTGCGACTGTTCCCAACAGATTGTGCTTTCCAAATCAATAAATTTGGAAGACTTTTTGAGTTATATATATATATATATATATATATATATTAGAAATTTGGAGATTAGAATTAAGCCCACTGGAAATCGAGGCGGCTCTTTCATTGCTCAAAAATGCAACAAGAAAGTAGTGAGAGTTCATGGACATGTTGATCGAGTCCATGCAATCGACATGATGAAACAGGTTTATTGGTCAACCAACAGGTCTCCTGTTACTTCCGTCAACACCTGCGTGGCTAAGAAGACATATATGATCATGGGTGGTGAGGACACAGAGACGGATCCGCCGGAGCGAGCTTGAAGGGGCCGACCGTGTAGAGGGCCCGTTTCGTCGCTCCGGCGACCGTGTTCCTCACGAACTTGAGGGGGAAGCCACCATAATGGCCCGCCGGCACATCGCACCCTGGCAGCGGCGACGACACCAGGAAGAGCTTGCATTTGTGAATCTCGTAGTTTGTCACCTTCGTCGTCTGGATCAGGAACCGTCCTCTGACATCCGTTACCGCGCTCGCCGACGCCCCCGGCCGGCTGCTGTTGCACCGTAGCATCGCGACCGCACCTGAACGCAGGAGGACGGTGAGTCATCAGCGATGCCGATGGAGGAAAAGATTAGCAGGAAGAGAAAGACTGTGCGTCGACAAACCAGGAAGAGGAGAAGCTCCCAGCGAGCCGACGTAGCCGGGGAGCTCGCACTTGCAGTAGATCGCCCCTTCGACGGCGACGCCGTACCTCGGCGGAAGCGAGAGTGCAGTGGCAGAAGGAGGGAAAGAGACAACCAGCAGGATGAGCTGAAGGGCTAGTAGCACGAGTGTCTTCGTCAATGCCATCTCCAAAGCAATTCCTCAGGTTTCATCGACCAACTTGAGACACGATGCCAGTTTGTAGAGGTCACTTGCTAGATTCTCGGGAATATGTCGTGTGTCGGTGATAGTTGTTTATGTACGGTGCTAACTGGATGTGGATCGACGTCCTATTCTATTCCCTTTTCTGCAATCTGAATACTGGATGAGTAGTACTTGCAATCCGAAGGCACCTGAACTCAGCACAGAGAGGGAGCCACAGTGTGCACATGGATTTGGATGCAGATGGAAGCAATCCGCATCTCGTCCATGTGAGTTGGTTCCTTTCGCAGGTGTGGTCTTCTCCTCCGCCCAAAGCCATGCAGATGGCAGCAGCTGCTATGGCTATGAATCTACGAGGGGATAATAAGGAGTGTTTAGTCTTGTAGTTTACGACTGACATATATCATAGAACAGATGGTTTGTAGAGAACTATCAGCGGTGATTTATGAATGAAATCAGAGAGTGACAACTTACATTTGCTTGTTAAAGGACTGATAAGAAACGATATCGTCAGATGAATAGCAAAACAGTTCAATTAATGACCTCATTTATATTTGATAAACAGTCCACGGATGAATTCTACCACTTGTAGTCAATTGGTGTTCTCTGTCATGCCTACAAATTCCATATGAAAATAAGTGAGGAAATAGTGGCAAAGATTTAGTTCTCTTGATGGTGTGAAAACTATTAATTTCTGTACTCTATGGAACTGAACAAATGCATATGACCTTCTTTGACAGTTCTGAAAGATGTGTTTCTTGTGGCTCATTGTTACTGAACTGATCAGTTCAACTAATGCAGAAACCAAAACAATCTTCTCCGGTACTCTGCATTACATATGATGATGTTGCCCCTCCTTCATCTTGCTTTGACCGTAAGGCAAACTACTGGGAGATGGGTGGCAATCAAGATGGTTGGTTAGAATGCTTTTGAGGTGTCTCAAGGTTGTCTTCTTGTTAGCTTGCACTGTTGTTAAGGATGTCTTGATCTGGATATGGAGAGGAGGACCAGATTTATAGAACCCCACAAATGCAGATGGAGTTGATTGTCACAGAAGACAGGTAGAGTTGATATGACTTTGTAGGATAAATGGGCAGGACTACACTTGGAACTTGAAGACTGAACCTTCATCTTCCAGTTGGAGTGGGGTTTCTCTGACTTGGAATCTCAGCAAGTTTAGGTAGAGGGTGATGACACTAATAGCTCTGAAACATTGCTTGGTTCCTTCTCAGATCAAAAGAACATTGTTTCAACATGGACTAGAACATAATGTTCGAGTGATGGGACTCAGAAACGCAAGGAGAGTTTGGCAAAGTGGATTTGTGTAAGAAATCAAAATAAGTTAGCATTCTGACTCATTTTTCTTCTCTCATAGAGCAAGCAACATGTCACTCACTGCATGTGGGGTTTTGGAACTGAAGAGGAAACTGCACCAGATGCTGACTTCCTTCAGATTGTGTACATTAGAAGTGGGTTGCCTGATGCAAAGCCTGTCTGTCATCTCTCAAGTCAATTAAGCTTGATTCATTCTTCTTCCTCTTGCTTTCTCCCTTTTCTTGGTTTGGGACATTTTGTCAAAAGCTCTCCTTGTTGCTTGTGGCTTTAGTCAAAGCGACCACCATACTGAGTTCTCCACAAGCTCCCAAAATGCAGTATCTTAGCGTGGCAGGAATCACATGGGTACATGGAGGCACAACCTGGCCTTTCTCTGCCTTTGATTTGGGTGGACAGCTTGGAAGATGAGGGTCTCATTGGTGGAAGAGAAGACCAGGCTGTGCTTGGTATCTTCCTGCCCATCATTTCATATTTGACATGTCCTATGTTGACACTTTGCTTCCCAGTGGGCACATCATACTCCCTCCCCAGTGCAAGCATTTTTAGCCTTGTGGTTAGGTACAGTTCACCTCAGAGTCATTTTATTTACATGTAACAAAAATAATGAAAATGCATTATTAGTCATCTATTACACCAATAAAAAGCCATCATTCAATGCACAAAAAGTGTCAGCTTTCTAAGGATTTTTTTTCCCCCTAATTAATAGAACATAAAACTGACATAATAGTCAGTCTTAATATTTACATCAGCTGACTGAAGAAGCTGGACATATGTTGACCATGGATTGTTTTCTTCTCTCTGCTTCTTAATGGAGTTCTTAACCAGTTGTTGATTGGTGTGGTTGTTTCCTAGCCTGGTCTATTCAGTCACCATTGCGTATGACTTTGTCCCAAAAATTTTATTCCCTGATGTCTTAAAGCTCCAACTCTGTCGACTATGGACCACTACAACTGGTTTGTTTGCAAGCATCAATTGAAAGGGATTGGCTGCTCCATCTCCACTCAGAGATAGAAGGTACTTGTTCTTCCCTTGGTGTAACAAGCAAGAACTTGAATTGCAGAAACAAAGAGCCTCAGCTGTGTCTGAATGCCCTGTGAAAGCCACATGATGGATGGCATGTTGAAGACTCTAAGGAGGCAATCAAGAGGTCAAGTGAAGAACTGAAGCTAATTTTGCAGGCTTGGCTGGCTGACATGGTTCCATTTACTGGTCTCTTTCCTGCAATAACTCTTTTGATGCAACCTTATGTGGATGAAACTGAAGTGAAGCAATGTTATTCGACATGGTCACCAAGGCACACTCCATCTTTACCATCCTACCAATAAACACCATCCATCCCTAGCTGTTCCTGAAAGCATATTTGCTGCACTCCATTGCTCACTCTGAACCCCAGCCTCCATCCCATGTCTCATGATCAGTTTGTTGTTATTAGTAGTATTATTTTTGCACTCAAACCAATCGACTCTCAACAGCTGTTTCTAATCTTTTCAAGAAGAGGGGAAGACATATGTGTGATTCTCATGTTTTACTCCAAAGCACAGCATAGTATTCTTCATTTAGAGTCTGCACATAGGTGAAACAGGTTGTCAATCAAAGAAAGCAACCAGTGGGGGTTGAAGAAACAGGTTGGAAAGCACACTTTTTGTGTGTTGTTTATTGCCTGTGAGCAAGTGGGAATCTAAAGCAGCAAGCATTCATTTCTTTCTCTTCTCTTGATCACAGAATGAATTTGATGTGGCTTGTGCACAAACACTGATCTGCTAACATAAAATCTGATACAAATCAACCACTCAGCATGCATGAGGAGAGCAAATTTTCACTCGGTCCACGATTAGCAGCATCAGATGGCCGAGAAATGGAGAGAGAACAAGAGAAAGATCGTGATGAAAAAGACAATACATGGAGGAAAAACATGGGGGGAGTTGCAGAGATGCATACTAGCTAGGAAGGATTAGAAGGCAGAAAGCCATCGGAAAGAAGAGCTCGAATTGTACAGTTGAACCATGGTCGTACCACCGGTTATGCCTCTCAGGAAGAAGAGCCGGCCGCAGAAGCAGATGGCACTCTTGGGGATGTCACCGGGAAGAGCGGCAGCAGCCTTGGCGGCTCCGCGTCCCTTGGCGTGCTCCTCGGGGAAGGATGCAGGTAGAACCCCCTCTCGGCGATCGCCCGGTCCTCGGCCGACATCGGCGCGGTGGCCGCCACCGCCGCCGAATTTGGCTGCGGCGACCGGTTGAAGGGATCTGGGATCAACGGCGTGACCGGGCTAAGGGTCAACGACGGCAGGTCCAGCATGCTGGGGGAGAGGATCTCCGGCTGCCTCCGCGGGGAGAAGGCCGCCGTGCCCATCGGGGAGTTGGGGTTGGAACCGACGAAGGCGGGGATCAGCGGACTTATCATCTTCAGGTTCTTGAGGCTGCCGCGGCGCTCGTAGAGCTTGAAGGCCGGCTTCTTGGGGCCGGTGGCCCTCGCGGAGGGTGGGATCGCGTTCTTGGTCGTCGGCGCCGCGGCGCCGGTCGCGTGCTTGGCGACCGTCTCGGCGGAGCCCGTCAGCATCTGGACTACCTGCTTGAAGGAACCAGCGTCGGCCTGGATGAAGGTGGTGGGGTAAGGATTGGTGTCGATGGATCTGGGCATGGACGCGGGAGCGATGGCCGCGGACGAAGGGGCTGCCGCTGCGGCCACCCCGTTGCTGCTGCTGCTGCTGCTACTGCTGCTGGAGGTGGAGTTGGGGGAGGTGGGATTGGGAGACTGGACTTCCTTCTCCTGGTGTCCATGGTGGCAGTTTTCCATCTGACGGATGTGCCTGAAGAGAGAGGAAGAAAAATCTCTTATTTCGTGTGACAGCTGCAGTGATGACACAGATGGAGGAAGAGGTGGATCTGAAAGGAGAGATTGTGTTGGGGCTGTAGTTGGATTTGGGAGGCAGGAGGGTGTGAAGAAGGGTGATGATATAGATGATATGTTTGACGGAAATCTCTCTCTCTCTCTCTCTCTCTCTCTCACACACACACACACACACTAAAAGCTCCGTTATGTTGTGGTGAACAGAGGGCTTGGAGGTAAATTGGCATGCCACAAATTCCGTGCCACACATGATGGCCCATCCAGAAAAAGAGTTGAGCCACATTGACTTCAGAGCTGATCGCTGGACCTGCTTTGAAGTAACACAGTGGCGTCGGCCTTCTCCCTTGTGAGAATGATCAGGTGGGTCTTGAGGTGACAACAATGGTGGGTGGTGGATTAGCTGCTGGAGTGTCACAGTAACTGCAGCACTGTTCTTGGGAAAGACTTGAGAATCAGTGCCATCAAGGGAGGAAGAAGAAGAGCTTAAGAGCATCCAATGCTCATTACATCAAGCCTAAGCAGAGGGACCACCGTGCAAGGCCTGACAGTGGCAATAGAAAGATACTCGTCAACCACATCCATGGACACCTGTGGAAGTGCGAGTGGAGAATGGATGATTGCTGGAGCAGCCTCCATCGAAGCATAAATGCATTGATTCATCTTAGTTTCTCTTGACCAAGCAATGAGGTGTTACAGAGAAGGGAAGATGAAGCAGAAAAGGACAAGGAAAGACTACAGGCTCGACGCTATGTGACAATGGCAGGAACAGTGTTTGGAGACACTGTGTTGGGATGCCAAATCAAGTAGAGTCTTAGCTTCATCATCATGGGTGCGTTGACAGAATCTGGGAGGTGCAGTACTTGGGTCAATAGGAGTCCCTCTCCTGACCTTGCACTCCTCTCTGTCTCCTCCATGCTTCTCTCTCTAGAAACATGAAGCAAAGATGGAAGAAGAGACGGAAGTAAAACCTTCTTTCCACTATCCCAATGGTTGTCACAATTCATCGAGCAAGGAAAAGTGTTGTGAGGTGGCTGTGGTCCTCCTGGTTCTAGATGAGATGTGGACAAGCTGGAGTTGGCAGACATTTGACTCATGTTTCTTGCAGTAAAATGGTGCTGTCCCTTTCCTTACATCCTTGTTGCCACCACTGGTTCCCTTTTTTACCAGTGGAAGAATCCATATATGAGATACCAGTGCAGGAAGAACAAATGATTCAGTCCACTCAATAGCAGAGTCACTGTGCACTTGAGCTGCATTTCTGCATATATATATATATATATATATATATATATATA